TATATATATATATATATAGTATTTTTTTTTCTCTCTAAAGGTTTCCCGTCTCTAAACTTTCCAGGTGAGATTGTACTCCTTAAAAACTTTATTTTTTGTTATTTTTTATGGCTTTTCCTCAAGGCTGCATGGTAGTACAGTTGTTGGCACTACTGCCTTGCAGTGTAAGGTCATTCTGCATAGAGGTTGCATGTTTACCCAGACCATGCATCAGTGATGCTAAAGTCCATTTAAACATTTTTCATATAGTTTTGAGGAATTTTTCAGGACACACACCAACATATCAGTTCTGCTTCCAGTCTTAATCACTTAAAGGCATGGAATGTGCTTAACAGCACATTGATGGATTTTATTTCATAAGGGTTAGATTCTCAAAAAATCTACTAATACAAAAACAACAAGGTAAGTTTAAATCATGTCAACAGCAATACCTAGTACAATGTATAATGTGCAATTACTATTTTATACCTTTTGCAAAAACCTGATTCTTCGAATTTGACACCCAGTGCAATAACGGAATACATAAATACCTATCTATATGAAAACCCATGTAAATACCCTGTGCAACAGCCCTGTATAAGTATGTGGAAAAACTGTATATACTATATATATCCGATGCACCTTTTTCCTTTGGCACCTTCCTCTCTTTTTGACTGATGTAATGAGTAAATTTTTCCAGTGTGAGATCAATAAAGTTAATCAATCAACCAAACAAACAAACAAACAAAAGACAACGAATGACAAAACAGGATACTATTAATATATCGTTTAGTACTAAATGATGTGGAGGAGTAGAAATGCAGCTAAAACTAATAATGTTATCAAGTAACAGGAGATGTAACCTTTTGCAGTCAATGTTTACAGGATTCTTTCAACCTTCACCTGTTCAGTTTAGCTTCATAGGAAAAAATAAGCAAATTAATTTATATTTTGGTTACAATTAAATAGCAAACAACGATTAAAATCAATGTGTTTTTTTTGGATTCGCTCCTAAAATCCCTGTAATCTGGCCGCGCTGTCCATCCTGTTGCTGTCCTTGGTGCTGAAACATCCCTTCCTCCCGCCGAGTCTCCATGTCTGCATTCCGCTCGTGAACAACAGCTCGACTACGTACCTTCGTGAAAACCTCCCTTTTCTCTTCTTTCAGCTTAGCACTGGCGGGGGCGTTTTCCTGTTCTCCTTGAAAGTCTTTCAAATGAATCTCGACGACTCCTTTATCTTTACCCGCGGTCATTTGGTCCTTATCAGACCTCATTTCTTCCCATCTCCCTCAAATTCGTTTGGTGTTGTTACCGAGTCCTCGCGAGACTGTAGGAGCCAAATATCGCGAGAGGCGAAATACTTTTTTTTTTTTTTAAACAGATCCCCTTTTATTTGGTTATATTTTTACTTCTTAAGTATAGTTCTTTATTTTTTTCTGTTTTGTAGATAAATTGCTGAAGTAAATGATCGAAAAGGGGAGTTTAATTTGAAACAGACAGGGTTCTGAGGTCAGTCTGTCTCAGCTGGCTGCAGACTGGTGGTTTTGTGCGGCTCACTTGTCACAGAGCTGCAGGCGTCAGTTTCTGCAGCCTTTTTCACCATCAGTCTTTTGTAATCTCGGCATGGCACTGAAAAGAAGCACAATCATAGCATATATCAACACTACCACTTGATAGTTGTATTTTCCAGAAGCAAAAGATCAACTTATCTACCCCATATAGTTTACCATTGTAACCTAAGCAACTTACCATGGATAAATGCATGGTTTCCACTGCTGGTTTCCACAGGCAGCCTGGGTCCCTCTGGCGCTGACACCGAGCTATTCAAGTTGGGCACAAGAGTAGAGCAGGTATCTGGATCTTGACAGATTCGATCATTAGTGTAAGTGCCTGTCGATTGAGAAGGAGTACAGCCCATATCTCCTCTAATTAACAGGGATAACCTCCAATGGACGCAGTCCTGCTCTTAGGCAGATAACACATATGGTCTGTATACAGGATTCAGGGAAGGTATCACCAGTTGCGGTTGGTGCGTAAATGCTCCCTGGGTGAGCCCCTCCTTCTGTTTTCCAATGCACAGCTGAACATAAGCCTTCTCCTACATCAAAAGCATGTTAATCTGCTAAACATTAAACCTGCTCTATGGATCATAACTATGAATTCAAGTAAAAGGTAACCTTTCAAAGGTTCAATTTAATTTCCAAGTATTATACTTTACTATACTTTATTTACATTACACAAAGTAAACCTTGCACGTTTTTACTTCTTGTCCACCTTTGATTTTTTGAAAAATCCAACTTAACTCAGATGTTTTTTTTCAACATCAGCCTAAAAAAGCAAATTTTAAAACAGAAATAATCAAATTTTAAAACAGAAATAATCAAATTTCATGCACTTTATCCCCAGACTTTAGGCCGCGAATCACAAACCATATATACAGTCATTGGACTGGACAAGAATTGGAAAACTCCTTTAACTAACGGGTAACCACTTCAGCCCTACTTTATCCCCCGCCCCGCCCAGCACAGGCACTTCCAATAAAGAATTCTACAAAGCAGATACGCACCATGAATCACTCCGTCACACATACAAAAACAAGACATACCAACCTTTTAAGATAAATGCATGGTTTATTGTAGCCATAACAAAATTCACTAAATCTGATTATACTCAGCTGGCTCTTTCTTCAGAGTGAAAATCCACAGGTTAATTAGCAGGGAGGATCCTGCATCAGGCATTTACAAGTAACTTACATGTTCGTCTGATGTGAGGTGTAGGGCTGTGTTTGCTTTTGTCAGATGGCCACATTTCCATTGTTTTTAACCTAAGGTAAAACATATTCAACCCTTTGGGGAAAAAAAAGGCATGTTTTCAGTTCCCCTCCTTTAAAGTGCATTCTTGTGAAATTACGGTCTTGACCATGTGCTGTACACAAATTCAGTCACTTATGTTAAAAATGTTCACAAGAGCATTCTTATACAAAATAACACACAGCATGGGGAATCCACATTGTGGAGGACAGCTGTTTAAGTTGTTGGCTGACTGTTGTCCTCAGGATTGGATACGTGTACCTATGACAACCAGTTGCTACAACAGATCCACCACCTGACAGGATGAAATCACGTGCTGGTGTCTGATAAAGTGTCCAGCATCATGTCGCTCTCATACATATCACACTCCAGAGTTAACGAGAGCCGTAATGGCGTCTCCAGCATCATCTTTTCTTGATTGGATGCTGGCGTTTCCAATGTCGACAAGTTCGTCTCCTCAGACCTTGGCGTAGCTTGAAGCTCATTTGATTCTGGTTTGCTCAACATCTTCATCAGTGCTGGAGTGTTCAAACTGCTTCGAACCTTGTCATCGATGTCGGTGCCTATTTAAAAAGCATAAAACATCATTTTGCATGTTTACAAAGCTTTTTGTCTCTTCAATTTTTAATGGCAAAAATAAAGTTTGTTGACATTTCAGTTGTCAAAAAAGAAAACTTAAATGCAACTTTAAACAGTGAAGGGAAATTGTGTCTCAATCTTTCAGATTAAATGAAGTAGCAGAAAGAAAAAAAAAGAAATCAACAAATTACATTTGTTGTTTTTAAATAACAAACCTATATACGCATCTGTGTCCCCGATGTACATTTCAATGCAATGGCCAAGCATGGTCACTGAGAATGTGTCGTCCCTTTTCAACCCAAGAGCCTGTCATAAAAAAGGAACAAAAAATGAAATTACTGTGGCATAAGATTTTAAAAAATCCAATCAAAATAAATAAAAACACAGAAAATTTTTATATCTAAACTGTGATCAACCATCAATAAAACAAATTTTGATTGTTCTATAATGTATTGTTCTTTATGCTTACAATTAGTTATCAATTAATCAGTTCATTAAAAGGCGCCCTGAACTTATTGATCGACAGCAATTAAAAGGTCAGTGGCCCTTTTCCTTAAAACCTTAGTTTTTACTTACATAAATATGGTCCTTCCCCAACAAAGTATTTTTTTTCCCACAATATTGAGAATAAACAAACAAATATATATATATATATATATATATATATATATATATATTGTAATTTAATGTTCCAGATGTATTCAATACTGACCGAATAAATCTTTTCTCACACATTATTAATCGTAGACACATTCCAAAACCTATTGGGTAACTAAATACAAAAAAAGGAGTAGAATCGAACATGGAAAACACTTTTAATCCACCAGGAAAAGAAATGTAAAACTACTAACTAAAGACAGGGTATATGACTGATGTGGCGCCACACTATTTGCCACTATGTGTCAATGAAGTAAACAGCAACTTTGACACAACAGACCATGAATCAGTGGTGGGAGCCACAGTTTTGTTATCCTGCTTCCAAAGGGGTGGTTGATGTTGTACTTAAAGGGATGTTAAAACTTGGCTCCATTACATGTATTAACTAATAACCAATTCTTATTGCCAACATGTCTTTTCTTTAAGGTTACGAAGGCTTTGTGTTGTGAATTTTAGCTTTCTTTTCATCCACCCTCGCCCTTTTAGCACATCGGTCATTTTTGGTTGGCTCATGGTGCTCTGCCATGCAGCACTTTATATGTATACAAACAACCACATGAAGTGGATTCTACGTCCTTGTTGCCATTAGTGTAAAATAATCCCACACTGCCTTCTGGGTTGATTCATGTTTGTTTTGTTTTTTTATCTAGCAGTCTCAGCCATCACTTCTTCTCTTGCAACTGCCTGTAAGGCTCCAATTTAAGATAAGCACTGGAGCACTCTTCTGGACAGTGGTAATACTACAATTAATTAAATTACTCTTTTTAATCATACAAACCTAATTTTACTCAGATAAACCATAAATCAACAATCAATCATAAGTCAATAATTTGTAAGGCTGCGTACAGTGTTTTTTTTTTTTTTAAAGTGAAATCCGACTGTAAATACTGTAAATACTTTCCCTATTCTAGCACGCCTAAAGGTAAACATATTTTCTCATTATATCATTAATATATCATGATGAAAATTTACACAGACTTAAGAAAGAAGAGGGATCAAGACTTTTAAACTTACTGTATGAAAGTAGTCTATTGCGCTTTCAAAGTCTCCCATGAGGCTGTGCACATATCCTATAGCAGAATACGTAGAGGCATGCTGTGGGATCAACACCAGCGCTTGGCGATGATACTCTAGAGCCTGGTCGTACTTTCTGGAATATTAAACACCATTAAGAAACCTGTTATCCAAGGATTTAAAATGATTTGAAAAGTGAAAATAACAACACAATTAACATTTTCTAAATTAACAGATATATATATATTTTTTTTTAAAGGATGCACATTTTTTTAATTTTCCGACAGCTTTAGAAGCTAGGTAGTTAAGAGCGCATTAAAAATGAATGAACAGGTTCCAGATAGAACAGACTTAAATTGTAATTCTTTCCTGATTGTTATTCACTTTTTAACTCTAGGGGAAAAAAACATTTACCGGTAGATAAAATTTGACTTATACCACAGATCAACAGATACAGTTTTTTTGGGCCAATAACAACTATTTTGACATCAACTATTTTGACAATTAATCCCAGATATTAGCTGCCAATATTTTTGGTCCGATTATCAGAGCCAATATCGATGTTTCTTCTATCTATTTACATAATAAAATGACACATAAAAACAGAGAATACACAAATTATGATTAAAATCAACAAAACAAACAATGGATAAAAACAATGGTTGGATTTTATTTACCAGTGCATGGGTAATGCAGGTACTTCATGCAAGCTTAAGGTATTGGCTGCTAAATGTACTAATGAATTGACCAAAGCATGCATATATTGGTCAGAAAGATAAGGGGAAAAAACAGCTTCTATTGACCAAAAGTGTCTCTAATGCATGCCCTTAAATATGTTCACACATGGTTTCATTTTAATTCAATTCAATTCAGTTTATTTATATAGCGCCAAATTCACAACACATGTCATCTCAAGGCACTTTACAGTTCAACCAGATAATACAGTAAAATTGATACAAAGTTTTCTATCTAAGGAAAACCAGTTGATTGCATTGACTACTTTTTTAGAGTATTCACACTATCCCATCTAAATTGGCCATATCAATCAAACCACTGCACCAGGAAAGGGCTGGGGACCAAATAAAATTCCTTTCATTCATCACGTATATGTTTCAGCAATAAGACCTAAAGCTAGGGTCATGGCAGGGTGATGGTATTGTTTACTCATGAGAACAGGACATAAAGTTATCTAAAAAGAAAATCAAATGGCGTAACCAGAGCCAACACTTACTTTAGTTTTCGACACACATGACCTAAATTGTTCAACAAAGGCTCCCACTTGTCCACAGTAACCTGAAATCAAAACAAAAGTCAATAAGTTAACCCTTTAAAGGAGTGTATGTTTATTCATGCATCACACTGAAACAGCTGTCACCTCGGTCCCTATGGCTTTGATTTTCTCCATTGCATCAAGAAATAACTTTTCTGCCGTCTTCCAGCTGTACAAACCAAAGAAAAAAAAAACATGCAAACAGTCAATGAAAAACTCTTACATATCATCAATATTATCACAGTATAGTATGGCAATTTTTTAATCAGCAGTGGTCAATTCAATAAAACAATAACAATAGCAAAATTAACTTAAAAAAATACTGCAGTATACTCACTCTCCATTTTGAAATGCAACCACTGCCACCTCGTGTATAACAAACGGGTCTTCTGGGGCGATACTAAGCGCCTGGCTAAAAAAACGCTCAGCCAGCTTGGAGTTGTTAGTTAGACCGTACTCCAGTCCAATGTAGAGCATAGGCAAGTGACATCTGTGAGAACAAACAGCAAGCAATATAAAAATATAGAGTTCAATTGTTTAAAAAAACATTTTATTCACAGGAAAAGGCAACATTTGGCAAGAAAAACAGGGACAGCAGTGGAGAAAATAAACTTCATTCCAAACTGGAAGGATCCAGTTTATTTAGTCTCCATCAATTATTATTATATTACTGATGTGAAATGAATTTCTAGAGTAAATAAGCACATGGTCCTTAAATTGTGAGAGATATTTAAAAATTTTCTCTGACTTATAATAAAAACTTTCAAGTTATTCTAATTAAATTTACTTTACTTAGCTCCTCTGTTGTCTTGAGCCTATACAAGAAAAAAAAAATATCCTATGTGAATTCTCTGGTTTAAAACCTTTACACCCTGGTGGCCTGATAAAGCATACCAATTGCCTGTTTCCACATAGAGCAAAATATATGTTTCTGTTTACTTAAAGTATATTCACATATTTTTGGGAACTTGCTGAAGCTCAAACTGATCATCAAAATCTGCAATAAAAATAGATTTGAACATGGTATCACTGCTGGTATCAGGTAATCCGGGCTTAGTGCTTCAGAACAGGTTTATCTAATCATTCTTCCAACCGCTACCATGTGAAGGTTGATGGAGCCGACTGAAAAGGTGACAGCATCGATTGGACACCAGTTGTTACCTACCCTTTCATGAGCTGAGCAGCAGTGAAATATGCAGCCATGGCTTGATCATGTTCACTCTCCACTGCAAACGAGTGGCCATAAGCGATCCATGCGGGACCATAAGTGCGATCCAGAGTGGTGGCTTTGCTACCGAAAATATACAAAGAAACACCAGGTTACAGTCTAAAGAGGCTTTAGGCAGAAAACTATTTCTCTTGATTGCAAAGATCTACCTAAGGTATCGCCTGGCATGTTCATTCTTGTTGCCAACCATGAGATAGTAGCACCCAACAGCAAACCAGGACACCTAGAACATGTTGATTTGTTTTTAATGCGTAAAAAGTAGTTCCAACAAATAAATAAAAACTAAAAAAAACAAAACAAAACAACACTCACTGGGTTGTTGGGGTACAGGTCTACAAGTCTGTGCGAAAGGTAAAACAACTCTGTAGGGAAACAAGAAAGAAATCAGGTCTAAAAAGTCCACTAAATTTTCTCTTTAAATAAATGTACACTAAGTTCAGTCACCATTTGCTTTTCCAAGCTCAACCAACGTCCCTATGTGAACCGGTAAACAGTTGGCATGAAAAGGGTCTTTAACCATCACTCTGAAATGCAAACATGTTCAAAACAAACATGTAATTAGATTTCTTTGAAACCAATGGAAAATTTTGGTTTTAGAAGCCAAAAACAAGTCAAAGCTAGATAATATATTCAACGTCCTGTTTTTCATAGGAAGTGGGTAAAAAGAAAAAAAGAAAGAAAAGAAAAGATAAAGCATACTTGCAAAGTGTTGCACCTGCTGTTTTTTCCACTATTTGTGACTATTGGTTTATGCAAAATGCTTACAAAAGGAGTTCAGTGGCTACTAACCACAATGAGAAAATAGATTGTATGCTAGTTTACAGAGCAGTTGTGAATTTATTGCTCAATATATATAAATAATAGTGGACACTTACGTTGATGTGAGTTTGTAGCACATCTTGAAATCGCAGTTATAATAATGCCTCTCAGCAAGAGACACAACTACATCCAAGTTGTCTTGGAGACCATTGACCATCTCAGGCACCACCAGATCACTGGGCTTGTTATACTGCAGAGAAACAGAATTTAAGAGCAAAAGAGGGTTCACACAAATACTGAACGTGAAAATTACAAGTTATCTTTGCAAGAGCGAAAACAGGAAAAAAGACCCTGATAAAAATCTTTGAAAATGTGTTACCAGATAAAAAAGAAAAACATAAGAAGCAAAACTTTGAATGACTTTGTAGTTTGAGAAGTGAGATGTCATAATAATAATAAATAATAATACTTGTTACTAAAGTAAATTGGGTAAATGTTTATTCTAAATAATCTTGGATGACATCATTTTAAATCAAAATACTGAACAATATCATGGTTCTCAAGTAGTACTTACTAAAAAAGGACAACATAAAAATTTCAAATTGAATGAATTAAAGGTTTTCGTTGCATCCAAAAATACCGTAATACACAACGACAACAAACAAAAAAAACAATATTAAAAAGATATTAACACTTTGAAAAAAGAGCGCTCTTTAATGTTCATTCTATGTAAAGAAATGGAAAATGTTATCCCACAAAAGATTGCTTACTTTTCATTTAAAAAATGACAAATCAGTCATACAAGTATCAGAATATTTACTTAACATGCCTGAAGTGTGGGTTGTGCAAGATGAAAAATGTAATGGCTTTTTGAAAATTACACAATAAAATTTTTTCCCTCACACATTAAAGATGTTTACAAAATATTTCCTTGGTTAACATTTTAATTCAAACTGTAATTTAAAAAATAAATAATAAAAATAAATAACTTTTTTACGCTTCATTTTAAGACGAATTATAGAGGAAGTTATATCCTTCTATGCATTGCAGTACGCAGCTAGTCTTTAGCCTCTACTTTAAACATCCGCTACAGTAGGGGTCCCCAACCCTAGTCCTCAGTGAACCCTGCCTTGCATGTTTTAGACTTCGTTCGAGCACAACTGATTCAAATGAAGGCACCTCCTCTACAATCAAGCGCTGCCTGTTAATCATCCGTTCGTCTATGGTGTGACTCAACACGGAAGCACCTAAGACATGCAGGACAGGGGTCCCTGGGGAACAAGGATGGGAACCACTGGGCTACACTGATGCACACATCATCCCCACACTGCTGCTGCTGTGAACAATGGAGGTAGTCGCGATTTCTTGACTATGCAAACACACAGCTCTAATACTTTTCATTGGATAATGTGATTCAGATAGATGAAGTTCATTTTAAAGGTGCAGGTTTAGGCCCTTTTCAGAGAGGAACTGGGAAACCAGCAACAGGTGGTGGCGGGGGATGAGGGGAATGTGTTGGCATGGGCATCTCTACCCACTGAATGTAACCCTTGTTAAACATTTAAGAAATATTTGATTTATCTGATTAATAACAGATTTATTAAGCGTGGTACTCTCTCTTTTATTGTTACTCTATGTCTCTCTACCACAGATCTCCGTCTCTCGTCTGTCTGTGACAAATCAAACTTCTTAGGGTTTCTACTTTGCAGCCTAAACAGTGAGTCAGATTTAGAAGCAGGTACATCAAAATAAACAAAATGCATAAACACACACACGTAGATTATGGGAGCTTGGTATGTAAATCCACCAGTAACACATTTTAGGTTTTCTGTGGAGGTTTGATCGATCTGAGTGTCTTGATCTTTCACTCACTGCACCTGAAAATCTACAGGATAATGTTGCTGATGCTGTTTGTAACGTTATTGGAACTTAATAAAATTCAGTGTTAATTTGATTAATACATGTTATGATAATGGGGTTGTGGTATTTTAACTTCTTTTTTTTATGATGCATGTTTGTTGTGGTTATTTGAGCATGATCAAACATGCAGCCTTAACTACAGCTACACAAAAAGGTTTGTTTTTTTGAAAAAAGCATTTTGGGTTGGGGTTTTTGTAAGGGTTTTTTTTTATGTACAATTAAACTAAGAACTCCCGCTATTTTAGTCTATAAAAAGCTAAACAACATATGTACTTGGATACAATATTCTAAGTTATATAAAAAACATTTAACGATCAGCAAGTCTGCCTTGATGCATAAAGAGGTGATATTTAAATTTCTTATTTTCTTAGAAACTTGCAGCACATTCATATATTTTATCTGTTGTAGTTGTTAAAAGTAAAACCCATCTACCAGGGAATAACTGCTGAATCTTTCAAAATGACAACTTATCATATAGAAATACTGGATTTGTTGCCTGTTGTTCCATTTATCATCAGAATATCTATTTATTTTATCTATAGAATGATACCATCCATTCACATTGCCTCAAATTTTAAAAAGTGCTTTTCTGTGCAAAAACAAAGCATTTTTTCACAAAAAAGCAACTGCAGAGCCTCTTACCTTCTTTAATTTATTTTCAAAAAGAAAGCGTAACAGCTCCTCCTCTTCCTCAGTCCCCTGCTGACTAAGAGGAAGTGAGTCCAAGAAGTCTTTTTCTAATGCAGGAAGAAAAGAATGTATGTAAAATGAAAATCATTACAGAAGTCACAAAGAAATAAGTGATTCAAATGATAAAAAATAATGAAAATGACATTATTCCCAAAGATGACCCTAACCTTCTTGTGCGGTCAACATGTGGTGAGATGTTAAAAGGTCAAAGGCTTCAAAGCAGTAGACATCTAGTTTCAAGGCCTCTTTGTAGCTGAAGGTGGCCAGGGGCCTGTTGTCCATAGCATCATAGATTTTACCCCGCAGGAGGCAGATGGAGCTACTGATCTGAATGTTTTAGAGGGGAAAATAGAACCGAGAGAGAGAAAGAAATGTAAAACAGAATAGAAATATCCTTTATAAAAGAAGCAAATAAAAACCTTTAACCAGGACCTCAAGTCTGTTTAAAAAGAGCAGTTTTTCCCAATTATTTCAATAAATGTTATACCTAAAAAGAGCTTTTTACACTCTGTCAGTTTGGACTTTGTAGATTTAAATGTCACATCTAATCATTTTTAAAACAGACTTCTTTCTATAACTTTAACTCTGAGCCCAGATTTTTTACACACATTGGATAAAATAAATTTTTTTAGGTGTAGCTTGTTTTAGTCAATAATTAAAATTAGTTCAACTTACTAAAAGCCAAATGATAATAGGGGATTATTTTATTATTTCATTAATCCCCTGTAGAGAATTCTGAGAAAATCATGGATTTAGTCTGAAAATGTATTATGTATTTTTGTAAATGGCAGTAGGGCCACTAGGAGGAGCCAAACGAATTAGATTTTGTTACATATTGTACAGTCAGGAATAGGTCCCAGTTTGAACAAATAAGTAAAAATAAAAATAGAAAAAAATGTTTCCCCACAAAAGTTACCAACTGCACCTTTTAAAATTAGAACCTTAAATAAACCAAAACGAAAAAGTATTGAAGTTTTTCAGAAAGTCCAGTTAATCATACCAGGCCTTCTTGAAGATTAAGATGTTTAACTCACAACATTTGAATAAGAGACTATTTCTAAAGCATTCATCAGATATACTGCCACCTTTTGATATCATCATTCTAAAATAAAAA